GGACGGGCAGCCGCTCAGCTCAGGGAAAGAGAGGGGGAGGGGGGGAAGAGGGGGGATAAGGGGGAAAGATAGTTAGTTCAGCACCAACACCACTGTTGTTCAAGTAGAAAGTTGTTTACTTAGACAAACTGCTGGGATAGTTGTATAATTTAATTGTACTTTTATACACCAACAACCAACTTCCTTTTTCCTCACATATTTTCTTTTGCAAAGTCTCTTGTTGCCATTTTATCTTTGTAGACTTTGTGCAGGAACTTTTGTAGACTTTGTGCAGGAAAGTTTACAAAGCTATAATTGATTAAAACCAATTATAGTAATATTCAATCATATTATGAACTCAACATTGACAAAAATAAAGATGTCAAATGATTTCCCTCTACTGTGTACATCGTTCCTTTTGTCACATCTGTGTATTTTTAAAAATAATTCTGAATCATACCAAAAACCAAAACAATTAAAGCACATTGTCCATGACCAAATGAATAACTATAAATATCTTCAACTACATGATCAAGAGAATATTTGTAAACCCAAAATTTTCCTGCAGTGTTACCTGTCTGACTGTTGAAATGCTGTATTCACTGTTTTATGATCACTGCTGGCCTCTGAGTTTCTTCTCGTCACCTCCTCTGATCACCTTCACTACCAAAACTGTCACTTTCTAGAAAAGGAAAGACTTGGAGTGAACATTAAATAGTCATTACCAGCAATTACTAGAGATGAACAATCTGAATCAGGCAGGATGGTATTTGGCAGATTCTCGCTCAAAACACTAAATCAGCAATTGGCCAATTTACTGTTTTTATTTTGGTTAAGCTTTGCTGCAGCTTCATGTGGTAAATAACATGAGGCAGGCAAGTGCACTCGTGCTGTATTTCCATGCTGCTGCTACACCTGTACCAACATAATTATGCATGACTCGTTGAGCTAAATATCCCGTTGCCTCTTACTTTCGATGTATCACTTTAATTGATTCATGCTATTTAAATAGGCAACTTATTTAAGAGCAAATAATGTTGTTTATAAAGCAAGTTTGGCAAATAAAAAGTACAGGAACTATGGAAGAGTGTTTCATTTGTTCATTTATCCCACACAATGCAAGCTTTGTCATCAAAGAAAAATAATCTTTATTTTTATTTTCCTTTTACTCTACTATTAGGTTTGCCTATTTTATATGTCCGCTATATAGGTGTGTAATTGATAATTGCATGCACAATTAATCAGCCGATAAACAGGGTGAACAGCATTCAAATGAAAGGCCCACACTGTATTGTCCTAAGGAAACAGTTGAGCCACATTCTTGAATTCCTGCCTTCCTTCCTTCAACAAAGAAATGGATATTATAGAACTTTTCCTAATGCAATGTATCATGGTTCTGTTGAAGGTTATGTACTGTTGATTGTGACTAACACAATCTGCTAACACAGAACTTCGTGAAAAATCACCTGCATGACAGAAATTATCACATTGTAATTGTATACAAAAATGTCAGTGTTAAACCACTTTTAAAGATATGAGAGTGAAAAGTTTATAAATAGGTTACATGTATGTTTATGTAGTGTTACTAAGCCGAGTTTTCATGATTTTCATTAATAACCCTGTGTGATGTTGGATATTCTCGGATTCACGCCTGGTCGAGTGGTTGATCGGGAATCTTGGGTCGACCAAAATTAAGGACTCTGACTCCAAAAGGTAAGTGCAAATACACTGACGTTTATTAAGTGAATTACAAACAGAAAAAAGAAAAACTGGAAGAAAACGAAAAGAGAACAAGTACATAGCACTGTTCAGGACCTCAAACACCCATTAGCTTGGTCCACACTCTGCCCTGGCTCAACCTCAGCACAGGAACTTTTGGTCTCAAGGTCGCAAGACCGAAGAGACTCCAAACTCAAAAAATCTATTTAAAAAAATAAACCTATCCTGCTAGGCTGCCCTCCAGTGTATTTAAACCTCTAACCCCGCCCCAGGTTAAACCAATTAACACAAAGGTGCTCAGCAAACATAAAGCAGTATTTAGGTAATTACTCCCCACCATGTTTAAACTGACATATCTTCAGGTCTGACATATTCTACAGGTAAGTATACTTTTACATAGCTAACAGTAACAATAACCTTTTCCTTTTCATGTTTGCTAACGACGGGACCCCCCCCCCACTCCATGTAGTTGAGGGACCTTACAACCTGGATAAAAGAGGATGATAAGCATGCCAGCAGTTCCTAAACAGAACACATCAAGAGGTAAGTACTTTAATGTGAACATACATTGCACACGTGTGTCACGCCGGTGATCAGCTGGAGCCTCTCAAGAAGCACAGGTTTGACTTGTAAGAATAACGGACAGGTGGTTTGAACTATAGGTTTGAGAAAGTTAAAGAGGCCAGTAATATAGCAAAGAATGGGGACTTAAGTCAGACAGACCCAACTACCAAACTAAACATTCAACTGGACTTTCAGACTTATGGACACTACTAAAAATGCTGACAATGCAAGACAGAGACATGCATACAGACCTATATACTGTGACTTTCTTACAGTCTTATTTCAAAGTAATCAGAGCAACAGCCAAAAATTCATATGTGGACCTTAAAGCAACCTGAATCAGACAGTAACAGAAACATAACTACAAACATAACTGACCAGAACAGAGCTAGATGAAATCCACTGTGTATGACGTTTGTGAGTGAGAGTTTAAAAGAGACTGAGAATGTGAAACAGACAGAATAAAAGAGTTAGCTCTCAAAATTGTCCTTAGGTTTTGTAAAAGCGATTATTTTGTGACCCACTGACAACAGAGCTACAAAATAGCATTAGCTACTTCTCTTCACTTGTGTTTTACACCAGCATAGTACAATCAAGCAATTTTTACACCTCTAAGCACATAAATAAAACCAAAATGAATATGTTGCTTTTATTTTCACAGCTTGAAATATACTACTATCTTTTAAAAAGAGCTAACAGTTATATAAACAAAAATGATTAAAATTGAACTAAATTGAAATGACGAAGCAATTCCTGATTATAGACCACATAACTGTATTCATGGGAGTTAAGTTACTTTGTATGTTTATCTGAAACCAGTCTTGTTGTTAGCCCCATTACACAGTATTTGAGAGTACAAATAAAAAATATTTATTTTATAAAAGATGGAAAACATAAGGCTAAATTGTTAAATTATTACTAGTTTTGTTAATGTAAATCGGTCTGCTGAAGTTATAGCTTAGCTAGATTAGCTTAGCTAACAAGTAGTTAATGAACAGAAACAATGAAATACAAATGATCTAAAAAAAATCAAATCACAACACTATCCACTACAGTGTGTCAATTTAAGCATATCTTGCAATGATTACAGCTAAATATTATGCTTATCTAAAAGGATCTAGCTCACGTTATCTTACCTGGGAAACAGAGTAGCATCGAAACTGTTGCTAGTAACGTTAGGCTATGAAGAAACTTGACCCAGTCACCCCCGGGACTGGGACACCTTACTGCCTGTAACGCAGAGGAGAAATTCTACTGTTATAAAAACATGTTGTGAAAAACGCAAAATATACACAAAAGGGGTACAATTGGCTAAAGTACTTCTGGTGTGTACTGGCTCTGTAGGTTTCTGTCTGAGCCAAACACAGTGCAGTGTGGAATTTGTAGTCCTTCACCAACCAGTGTAATCCTAATGAGGCGTTAATTTACACAGACTTGTACCTTTGACTTCTTTTATGTTTTCCTTACATGTTAAAATGTGTATCTGATAAGTTTTTACATTTATCTTACACTGTCATTCTGATAATGAAGAATTGGAAACGGAAGCGTACAGATAAATTCTGAAATCTTTATACTGCTAATCCAAATTAAAACATACTCCTGAAACATTAGGAGCACATTAATGATGACGTAACGTGCACACGGTGTGTTCAAGTAATACATTGCTGCAGATTGTGGCTAAAAGAGCAGCGCAGTCAAAGTCTGGTACATTGACATGCATTGTATTCCTATAACAGAATAAGTTGATCTGCAACGTTTATCACGTACTGAAATTAAGTTGTATACAAGAGTATTTTCTGTGGTTGGACAGAACTAATGTAGAGGTTCCTGGATTCAGAAAAAAAGCAAAGTAAATATCATCTTATTCATATGACATATGAATTTGAATTAGATGTTTAAAACTATTTCATATTCATGTTAAATTCAAATATTAGAAGTTGTCTCCTAAAGCTAATGTAACAGGCCATGCTATTTGCCATTTGTACTAAAAAACCGTGAAATTGTCTTTATCGCAACCTGTGACTGTGAAATGTTCTCACTGCAAAAGTCTACTGCTGTAAAAAATATTCCATTCAGATTAAAACCATTTCCAAAAAGTTAGGACACTGTGCAAAATGTAAATAAACAGAATCCAATCATATATAAATCAAATTATAGGTTTTTTATTGATTTTTTCTGATTGGCTGCTCTCTATTGTGCCTCCTTCAAAAAGTAGTCCGGGCTGCAACATTCCTTATAACACCTGTAGGCTGAATTGGTGGATAGATAAAAATGTGTGTTGCTTTTTGTGAAACCACAGAAACAGTTAATTAAAATTGGTCTGAAGAGACTGTGGAGTGAACAGTATGTTAAGAAAATGTAACATACTGTGTTAAAGGGGACAGAAACGAAAATTCACTTTTCTATGATATGTCCCTTTTCAGCGTGTGACGTACAGTGAATTCTACGATTCAAACATCGCTGCATGTGTTTTGGAGTAAATGTGCGTTGTGAAGGAGAAAGAATGTTCTGTGGAACTTTAACAGAGCTGAGACTCTAAAACCGCTCAGTCGTTTACCGACACCACACAGAGCGAGCTGCTTTCTCTTGTGCTGCGACTTCCAAGCGAACTACCGGATCAATCCTGCTTCACAGATGGAGTTTCCTCTCTCTTTCTTCGGTTTCCGGCTGCGACCAGTGGTGCTTTGTGCCGCTGGCATTTCAGCCGCAGCTGTAACGTCCTCTTTCCTCTTTTACAGGTGGCGAGTCCCGGACCAGCAGCGGAGAGTCGATGCTGCGACCCAGACGGACGCTGGCGACCACAGACTCTTCCACACAATCTGTGTGACCGACGGTCAGTTCAGTTAGCGAATATTTAGCGAATGTTTTAGCGTTAAGAGTTCAGCTGCTTAACTTAATGGCTCAGATTAGCAGCGCCAGTGTAGCAGAGCGTGTTAGCTGACTTTTCTAAGTTATAAAAGTGCATTTTTTAAAATTTGGTTCTGACTTTCCTTAATTTTTCCTTAACCTTACAAACGCATCCAAATTTGGTTAATTTATCCGCAATAAAGTCGCTCTTTCACATTTTCCATTAACTAAGAACCTCTAGGAGAAAGTTAGTGTCTTTGATTAACTGTTCGATAAATAGATGTTTAAAAGTCTCTTATTCAGGAAGTTTTGCGATGTAATGTTAATATTTGTTTTCTTTTAAATCTCTTTGGGCTGTTAGCTGACTTTATCCTGATGCCAGGCTAATGCTGGGTTTGCTAACCGGTTACCAGAGTAACAGAGCGTCTCCAGCTGCTGTTCATTCATGAGAATTTGGTGAATTTATGCTGCAGTTACTGTTCATGTTGAACGAGCTTTTCCTGAATATTTCAGTGATTATTCTAATATTTTCTTTAGGAGTGGATCATCATCGGGACATCTATTCATCCATCCCAGAGGTAGTCTTTTCACATAGCAATCTTAAATGATTAAATATCATTATAATAATAATTAAAACTGAGGACACTACACAGATATTCCTGCTCTATATTAACCATGTTTTCTTATCTCGCTGTGTCTGCAGATCTGGCAGGAACTGCTATTTATTCCACCAACTTTGTGTGGACCGTTGGCGAGAATTCGGGTAAGAATCAACTTTGCACACATTGTTTAAATGAAAGTGAGTTTAATTAGGCTGTAGTTAATAGATCAGCCTTCACTACACATTTTATTCCTTCTTTCATTCATTCCTGTAGGAGTTCTGCCAGGAATTGGACCAGACTGACAAGAACTTTGCCTACACCTATGAGAATTGGTGTTCTGATGGCTTGAAGGTTTCTTTCAGTTCTTATTTTGTTCATAATGCCCCCAATCAGTTATTAGTTGGCTGTTGTAGGTGGTCTCTGTTCAACCTGATAGATGTTTTTTTTCCGGCAGCTGGTGGAGATAAAGCTCCAACACAAGTCCCTCTGCAATGGGCTGGAGAGTGAGCACTGGTGGGTGCTCAACAACAACTTTTATAACGTGTCCACACAAGAGGTAAGACTGAGTTATTGGAGTAGGTTCATGATTTTAATATGAATAGATGTTCTACAGTCTCTTTCTTTCATCCTCATGTTTTTAATTGTGTTTATAGCTTCCTCCCCAGTATTTTGCATGTGCCAGTGCTGTGGCCTGCATCAAGGTAAAGCTGCAGCCTCATTTGTTCAATAAACGTTTTGCAACTAGTTGCAATTCTGATTCCTTATTTCATCTCCATGTCTTCTGTTCCTTCAGCGCGTCGGAGCATCCATCAGTGAGGTGAAGGTGTACCTGCGCACTGAATCGTCACACACATCAGTGCAGAACGTTTCGCTGGTTAGTATTTCCTTGTGTCTTTTTGCAGTTAGAGTTAGTAGTGATGTCAGTTTTTGTAAATAAGTGTTCAGTGGTAGTTTTACACATTTTCATTTATATTTCTGTGTGTATTTTGCAGCAAACCAGAGTGAGCAGGACGAACAAGTGTGTGTTCATTGACTCGGATGGCCATTTCTGGTCTCATGAGTCCAGTAACACACACATTCTGGAGACACCGGCACCTTCTGTTTGTCCTGCCAGACCAAGAGGACCACCTCCAGGCTTTTAATCAGCTTTTTTTATCAAACATGTTTATTTCTATTATACTCTTTTCCCCCAAATTCCTGTACTTTAATGTTTTGTATGTATGTCAGTGTGTGTGAGCGTGTGTGTGTGTGTTTTTGTTTTTCAGATGCAGTCAGTTTGCTTTCTAACTATGTGAGCTCCTGTATGGTTACCTTTGGAAGCGTGGAAGTGCAGCGTGACGTCGACTAATCACCAGAAAGAAGAATTTAGATTACAGGCCATCGCAGACCGGATGTAATGTGCAATGTCTGAACATTCAAAACCGTTGTTTTTAATGAAGGTACGCAAACCAGTTCTGACATTTGGTGACTCTGAGCACTGCTCAGGTTCTCTGCGTCACAGTGCACCACTCAGCTTTCTGACATTACTGTGTTAAAGCTACACTTTTTAAGATTTGGGGATTTGGAGATCTCTCTGGTGGAAATGTTTCATTTTCACACAACATACAGAAGACGTTTTGTAATGTCAGTTGTGCTTCAGACCTTCCCCAAGCTGGTTGTGAGGCCACGAGATTAAAAAAATAGAAAAAGAAAAGAGACGACATGTGGCTTGAAATTTACACAGAGAAAGGTAGTCAATTATTTAAATAAACAGACACGTGCTTATGTTACTTAAGTAAATGTTACTAGTGTAGTCTTTTTTCATCTTGTATCTAATCATCTTGAAAACAGCAAGTTTGTGAAGACTACAAAACTTTGCACTAGATGGTCGGTAGAAAACTGATGCTGAACTTGATAAATTATTTTGAAAGAGTGTAAAAATTAACTTGAGCTTTCCAGTTATCATCTCTCACTGCGATGCATTCTATGTAGCATAGCAGCGCTTTATGTTGTATCTGCTATATGATGCGTGGCATGGCACGATGTATCCAGTTCTGACAATACCATGAATATACTCAGAAATGCATATTGTGATGAAATTTTATCACAATAACAATTGTCATAGCCTGCCCCCCTTTATCAAACTTTCTCCCTCTGTCTCTCTTACTCCCTCCCCCAGTTCCTTTCTCTTTATTTACAAATTTTTTTTTCAGACGTGTGCCACCTAACATATCAACCAAGTGTTCCTATCTGTCTCTCTCTCTCACTGTCCTCCATTTAGGAACCCAGTTCAGCGCTCCTCTTGGAGACTCCAGACAGCAGCAGTACTTAAACTTCACCGAGACCCTCCTGGACTAAAGGACTGCTTCAGTTTGTGGATCAGAGGACGTCCATCTTCTCAGATTAATGAAGTTTTTCTGCTTGGAAACCTTAAGAAGCTCAGCAGGACTGTTAGAGACATCAGGAGATCTACTTTAGGAGACACAAAGAGAACCAGAGGAGGAGGTCCATGGACTCTAAGCATCATTGTTCAGCATCAACTTTGTCACTATCATCATTACTGTTATCATCATCGCTGTGAAAGAAGAATAAGTCTGGACAAAGTCACCATCCCTGCTGTAGTCAACATCATCACCACCATAATTTAGGATATGGACATCAACAAACATGGTTCTCATGAGGAGCAGCATCATCACTGATACTGACTTCATCACAGTCCTAATTATCATCATTATTATCTTTGAGCCGTGGACACAGACAGTGGACAGTTGTGTAAATGTAAATGCTCTGTAAATGTGATTACCATAGTTTATTACAGTTGTATTCATATTGTGACTATAAAGGTCTCATTTCAATTACAAAGAAATTACTTTGTTCTTTTTCTGTTGATTACATCCATTCTGGTACATCCATTCTGGTACATCCAGTACCAGTGAAGTTGGATGGATATCCCAAATTTAAATGTTATAACATGTAGAAAGGTCTAATGACAATATATGAGACACCCTGCACTCTGTCATCAGTAACATCATTTTTTAACATGTTTGTCTTATCATGTTTGTCGTATTCATTTATTGTATTAACAGGATAAATTACCCCTTTAAGGAAGAAAATGTTGTCAGATATTTGCTGTCTATTAACAGTCCATCTTTTACTGAACTAAACCTTGATTAGCATCTGTGTAGCATTTTCATTTGTTAACCTACATGGCTGTAATCAAACTTTCACAATCTTATGAGCTGATGATCTGGAGGATGCGTGTTCAGGGAGTCCCTGAAAGTCCAGCTATATTATTAGCCACTGTAGTGGTAGCCATGCAACAGTCCAGATGACGGTGCTGTAGCTTGTGTTGCTCAATTAAAAATAATAATAATTCAAAAGAGAAGATGGAATGCTATATTGTTTATTCATAACATCAGTCACAAGCAGCTTTTTTGTTTGATAAGGACAATATGATCTTCTCAGCAGTGTGCTTGGGCTTGTTTTCTTCCTGTAGAATGAATTTCTTATCAAACATTTTCCGTAGAAGATTGCAGGATGTATTAAAATTTGTTTATACAGCATTCACGATACCTTCAATAAAAACGCATCACCAGCTCCAGATGCTGTTATACACTCCTAAACTTGTGCTGATTATCTATCATGCTAGACTGATGGTCGTAGAAATGCCTTGAAGGGTCTTTCATTCAATAACGAATATACTGCGTTTTGTTACTTCCAAATATGTCAAATGTAGACAGATCAGTTCATAAAACCTTTCTCCACATCTCAGAGGTCTAGGTTCTGTGTTCCAGTGCAATTTTTGTCTATGTTTCTTAGTAAGGGCTTCTTGACAGCTACACATCCTTTCAGCCCCATAGCGCTGAGTTGTGTTCTCACAGTGGATGAACAGAAAAACCTGTGATCTGAAGCAAAGAGTGGAGATTTTCTTCTCGACTCCGCTTAATTTTAACCAAGAAAGCGCCAGAACCGGTAATAAAGGGATACAGTAGAGATTAAACCATCATAAACATATTTGAGTAGCTAATAAAGTAGCTTAAAGTGATATAATAAAAAATATTTCATTACATAATAAGGGGCGAGGGGAAACTCAGGGTGATGTGCAGAGGAAATCGTTTCTGTAGTCAGAAGGCTTTAAAAAAGAACCAGCCGGATTTTATATTGTTCCTCTTTTCACGAGGCTAAAGTTGGCTTCGTATATTTTCCGGTCCACCTTAAATGGTGCGCCCGGCGCCAGTATGTAACAGCGCCATTTAAGGTGGAACGGAAATTTGAATAAGAAGGTGTTAAATATAAGCAAATACCAGCTTCATCTTCTTTTCCACAACGTTCTGTGAAAAATGTTTGGTTTTGGTTTTCGTTTCCGTTCCGTGTACCGATTCTGATCAGTGTTTATTTAACCCTAATCGTGAAGAAAAGGAAGAGTTGCCGCGCAGGACGAATCGAAAACGTTTTTGAACGCTGTAAGCACAACAACGACTTATTCAACGCTGGTAATTAAGCAAACTCATGCTACTTAAACCCTGACTCTTTCTTGCATCACACATCAAAATTTCCCTCGGGCCGAAAAAGACAGAGTCGAAGAGTCGACTCCAAGCATTTCGACTCTTAGAGTCACTGGCCAAGAGTCGACCCCGACTCCCAGACATGTTGAAGTCGAAGAATTGATTCTTGTGGAATCGACTCCCCATCATTATCATGGAGAGCGTTTTGCGATGGAAGTTTGAAAAGTCAGATGTCCTCCGGGTGCATTTTTACCTCTGTGTTTTTTACAGTTCAACGACATCTTAGACAGTTAATGGTAAATACTAACCTTAACTGAATTGTAATACATTTCAGACTGTTCTGTAACGTCAGCTTGTTAGGTTATATAGCGTTAGGTAGCCTCACTGAAAGTAGACGGGCTAATTTGTTTACCTGGTTGGGTTTAATGTTAGACTAGCTAATGTTAGCCTTTGTTTAACGTATTCTAGAAAAGCCCAAAAGACTTTAACGTGATTATTAATGATTTTACCCATAACGTGCCTACACACTGACGTTAATGTAGCTACCGTTGTAACACAAGCTCATTAATTCTGTACACTAGATGGTCATGTTAGCTAGATTAACCTATTGGCTGAAGTATTTTTAATCACAGGGTAATTACGCATACAGTTAATTATTTGTTAGATTACGCTATTGCCATTTTTCTTAGTTTGAACTAGCAAATCATTTTTTATAGTCTATTATGAAGATGCTTTGGAATCTTGAGAACAGGCTGTGTAACCATGTGACCATGTAAAATGGGCCATAGGTTTAGTCCCTGATGTTGGTATAGTCTAGTCACTCCCCATATCATGTTACAACGCATTGTCTTTTGGGTGAGCTGATATTGTAGCCAGGTTAGTGGCTCTGAATAGTTGAACGAGTCTTCATTTCCTGCTTACCGGCTTTCCTTGATTTTGGCTGATCCTGAAGCCCATGGACACACTGAATACATTTGCAGAGCTATCTAGCATATGAATACATGACTGTCAGATCAAAGATCAAAACAAATTCAAGGAAAGCTGATAGAAAAGGAATTTTGATTCACCTATGGTGGACACAGCTCTAAACAGCACATAGGAAACATTGCATTGGGATAAATCATTTTATACTCTAATCACATAGATTTAATGGAATGAAACTTGCAGTACCATGCAGTGTTTTTGTTATTGTTTGGAATTAGTTAACTTGCTCTTCACAAACGCCTCACGGGTGCCGGAATGTAAGTGCTATATCATTTACGGTGGACTGGAAAGCTGGAATAAGAAGCAAATCTCAGTGAAGCTGAGTAAAGCTGTTAGTGTTTGCTGATGTCATGAATGCACATAATGATACTCTCAGGTGGCCTCAGGCACCACATGAATGCCCTCCGAAGTCGGATGGTGAAGTCGGGTATATCAAAATTTTTGATACAGCACAAATTGGCTGAGTTGTGACCTTTTATCATGGTGAAAGACAGAAGAGAACAGTCAAACAACAGAAAGCAGCTGGATAAACTGTACAAATATAATAAATGGTAAATTATAAATAAACTACAATATTTTACAATAAAGTGTAAAGTAAATTTTAAACATGTACAATTAACCCATTTCTTTTTCTTATGAGTTAAAAACACCATAAGAAAAGGCCAAAACCAAAAATGCTAGCTAGCTTATAAACTACAAAATGCATTTCATAACTTAACAGTGTTCTGTTTATCTTTAAACCACATAAACACTTGTTGGGTGAACGAGTTCCTCCTCTGAGAAAGATACCACCCCACTTGTACTTGGAAGCATGGCAAGACGCTGTTAAAAAGTCCTAGCACTACAAAAAAGTATAAAAAGATTAAACAGTTACATATTGGGCATCTATCGAAGCTCTCTTACTGTTTGTGTGTATTTTTAACATGTAAACAAAGAAGAAACCCCGCCAGAATGGCAAAATACATTGGTGTGGAATAATGACTTATTTCGGTTTTGGTCAAAGTTGTTATTAAAGGAAGAGGAACCTCATGGTAGGCTAAATTCTCTAGGACAACAAAATCTGTTTTTCGACAAATAGTTGTTTGAAGACATTACTGTTTTGAGCTATCATGCAAATCCCTATGTTATATTTGGTAGCACTATTAAAGGCTAGAGAACAGAAAAGGTAATACAGTACAAGTAATCCAATAGAAATGACTAATTAATTGTCTCAAACTGTAATGAGATTGCTTATTACTTCTTGACTACTCATTACTTTTGCACAGTTCTGTAAAGTTACTCTCTAAAACCCATATAAAACTAACAACGTTCTGCTCTGAACAAGACATACCCAGCTACAGTTTTTTTGTGAAAATTTGGATGATCCTGGTCAAATTACACATTTTGTTGATTGTCTGAGTGAAAAGAACACCACCTCCATATATATCAAACTTTAATATACTTCAATAAACTTTAATAACAACTATAACCTGTTTCTGCAAATTTTATGCATTTTTCTTGGGGTTGTGTGGAAACCAGTGGCCAGGTTATGTTGTGGAGACAGAGAACAGATCTCAAAGATGTGACAAAAATAGAAATGTGTAACTGGGGTAACACAATTCTTATTAGTAACTGTAATATTACACCACTTTGTTATAGGAAAAATATTTACAATAACGTAATGCATTGTGTATGGTTTATGCACTGTAAAAATGGCTCGTCAGTTCAACCTAAAAATAAAATTACTTAATGTGGTGACAAGTAAATTAACTAATTGTATACAACCCCAATAAATTCTTTAAATGAACGATTCTTTCAATCAAAGTAATTGTTTGAGTTGAATAAAACTAGTTAAGTTGTTGTTGTTACTACATGAAGTAATGAAAATAATTCAGTTCTGTATTTGTTGTTTACTCCAGCATCATTTGGAGTCTCTTTCAGCCTGTGCTCAAGTGTGCTCTCAATCTCATAAGTGTGAGTGTTTGGCGATATGACTGGTGCGGAATTGTGTACAATTATGGTGTAACCACTGTTCAATAGATTGTTGCTGGAGGAGCATGGTGGGAGCACACATTACGTTGGAGTGCATGCTAGGGATTTCAGTGCAACGCATTGTGAAATGGGCTGATATTAATATAAAATCATAATAATTCCGTGGGCTGGATAGGTTTGTGCTCCAGGCTTGATCTGGCCCATGGGCCTTGTGTTTGACATATGGGGATTAAATTAAAAAAAAAAAAAAGAAAAACTAGTTGTTACGCCATCCAGTTTTTGATTTCAGCAATGAAATGGGTTTGGAATGGAAGATACGTGGATTTTAACGGCTGCTTTGATTGGAAATTTTAAAAAACGATGGGTGATCTCTGGCATTTGCTAGAGTTCCTCCAGTCTTGA